GGGGCGGAAACAAAGGTTGTAATTGAATGTACCTCAAAAAGATGTAATAGAATAAGTGATTAAGGTTCGTATGTACTTGTGACATTGTTGTTACTTTTGTTTTTTTTTTTGTTTTTTGTTTTTAATTATGATGAATAGAATAATCAAGAGTCTAATAAAAAGAATAACATTTGGGGTGGGTACTTCTAACTTTAATTCTAACTATTTTTTTTTTGTCATTTTATAGTACAACGTCAATGTGTTATACAAGTTGTCATTCTTTTAATTATCATATATAGGTGTTTAAAAAAATTATCACCTCAAAATAAGATCTTAACAAGAGACTTACGTTCATTATTTTAAAAATAAAAAATAAAAAACGCAGAGGTTTTGTTTTTTAAAAGTGAAAAGAATAATGGTTAAGATTTTACTTAAGCAATATTTTCAAAAGATCTCCAACTTTCTTTTTTTTTTTTTCAAAACGAAAAACAAACTATATATGCAATCAAGTGTTAGTCTAAGGTCTAAAAATGTTTTAAGAGATTATTATGATTGCGATTTGGGTCTAATTTGGATATTGGTCGGGTCGGCAATATGAGTCACAACACGACAACACGATTCGAAAATGATACGAATTTTACGGGTTAGGATTGAGAAAAAAGAGGTTCGAGTCATAATTGGATTGACTTGAAATTGACACAAAAAACACGGGTCAATTTCATGTTGGACCTGCCTAACCCAAACACAACACGAAACTCGTAAAAAAACTAAAAAATATAAATATTTTTCATTACATATTTTAGATTTTATTAGGAACTTGTGATATCATGATAGTTATACTCAAAATTTTATACTATTATTTGCTTAATTTTGATTGGATGCTATTGTATTTTAGTGCGTTATGAATTTTAAATTATTTCTAATATGAAAAAAACTAAAAAAAGTATATAATTTTCATGTCAATTTCGGGTTCACGGGTTCACTTCGTGTCACGGATCATTTCATGTTATGTCGTGTCAACTAATAAAGTGGTTGTGTCGTATTTGTGTTGTGATTTTTTAAAAATTTCATGTCACGAATTGTGTTCGAATTGACTATAATTTAAAAAAAAAGATTAAAATACGACGCGTGACACGAATTATTACCCTCAGACATTAGGTTGTTTTTAGTAAGTTTATTGTCTATCGTATGGGAAAACAAATGAAAATATTACTAATAAAGTTTGGTTGTTGACTTGTCCGCGTTGTCGTTGACGTTTGGGTAGACAATCACAAGCTCTGGTTCATTCTTGACTGCGATAGGAGCTGTAATTGGTATTTTGAAATTATAATTGATAATTGATAATTGATGATGCTTTCAGCAATCAACTTCTCATGAGTTGAACCTGGTTTTTGCCATCGTTTTAGCTTTCTCTATAACATATATATATATATATATATATATATACATTTGTGAATTATTTACTAATAAATACAATATTTACAAAATCGAGAATTAGATTCAGAGAAGTATCTGATAGATACAGTATTTAAAAGATTTAGAATTGAATAAATATTTACTAGTGAATACAATATTTATCAAATTCAAAATTAAATTTAATGAAGTATTTATTGATAAATATAATATTTACCAAATTCTAACTTATAAATATTTATTTATAAATATAGTATTTATTAAATTCCAAATTATAAATTATTAAAGTATTTACCGGTAAATAACACCTAAAATAATAAAATAACACAAAAAATACAATCAAACCTCCAAAACAGGAACTCAACAACATCATTTACAGCAAAAAAAATAACTCCTCCCTATTACTATCTTTTTTCCCGTCGTTTTTCTTGTTTGGTCACTTTGTTTGCTGTCGTTTTTGTTGTTATTGTGTCGTTTATGGACGTGGTGTTGTTTGCGTGCGCATGTAATTGCAGAGCTGATGTTGAAGCTCGTTGAACTGTGCGGTGCGTCGGTGAGTCTCCGATGGCAGCTTCCGACGGAGGATTCGACGCCCTGCTCTCGATCACCTGTGATGAGGATCTGGTGAATCTCATCGAGAAGTACGAACAGACGGCGTCGCCGCCGTCGGCGTTGAAGATCAGAGCCTTTCTCGCTCCTCCGGAATCAATCAAAAAAATCTCTCCTCCTCCTTCATCGGTACGATCTCGACTCCGAGGTCCCCGTCGCCGGCGTTCCGCGATCATCATTGGTGCCTCCGCCAGATCGCGCCGCAGATGGCCTTCAAAAAATCCGCCGCCGTCGCAACAGCCGCCAAAAATTGTTAAGGGAACCTCGTCGAAGATCGCCGCTGATGATCTCTCTCGTGCAGTGGCAATCATCAGTCGTCGGAAGCCGCCGCCGCCGCCGCTGGTCGTGGCCGGATCTGGTTTTACGGAGAGAGAGAAAATAGAGAGTCGAGAGAGGCTGTAGAAAGTCTGAGAAAGAAAGAGGGAAGAAAACCGTAGAGGGTAAAATAGGAAATTAAGAATTTGTTTTAAAATGAAAGATAAAAATATGTTATAATTTATCAGTATTTTGAAAACACGTTAATTACTTCAGCATTTTTCCCATGCCGTCTACATCTAGATCTCAAGCAATGTGGCAAAAATAAAGAAGTCTCGTGTTTGTTTGTAATTATTGATGGTGTATATTTTGCACATGGAAATTGACAAAACGTTAGCTTTTAAAAGAGGGACGAAATTAGGCGAAGGTGATGCTGACTTGGCCTGCCATTTTGGAATTTATTTAAGCTTGTATTAATTTATATACAAAAGTCAATTAGTAAATACATCCCTTGTTTTTTACTTCCCTAACCGGTTTCAAAGGTTAGTGTTTGCATAATCTACATATGGATATATCAATAATCAATAGTCTCATAAACTCGACCATCCAATCTAAAGCAATTTTGATATATAATTCTCCCTTTTTTCTTCTCATAAAAGTGTGGTATTTAACATTGTATAATTTAATATATATATATATATATATATATATATATATACACACACAATTCATATGTTGAGTACAATGTACCAATTACAAACGAATTATTGAAACAGCAAGTTTTCTAAAAGATGGGTAGCACACAAACTAATAATTTAGAAATGGGTTACGCTGACTAATGCCCCTTAGATTTACGGTTATTCTCACTTTAATCTATGAATTTTAAAAGTTCTCATTTTGTTCTTTAAATGTAAATTAATCTCATTTAACTCACTCTGTAATAATTTCTATTAAAAATAAATTGAAAAATAGGAGATATTTATGTTCTCATAAGATCTTTCTTTTAGAATTTCTATTAAAAACAAGCACAAAATGACCAAATGATCATACTTTTATCTTTTTTTTTAATTTCTTTTTAATAAAAATTCTAAGAATAAAGGGTTAAACGAGCTTGTTTAAAATTTTAAAAATAAAGTGAGAATTTTTAAAATTTGAGCGATAAATTAAGAATGATCTTAAATTTTAAGGGAAAAAAATGAAGAAGAGAAGAACAATTGCATATACAAAAGTCAATTAGTTAGAGAGGGAGAGAGAGACTTGAAGGCAAGTCACATGGGGTTTAGCCGCCTTTAGGGGCCAGTGGTGGAATAATAAAAATAAAAAATAAAAAATAAAAAATAATAATAATAGCAAGGGAAAAAGACAGAGACGGTGTGAATGAGAGATGAGAAGAAGTAGGCTTTGTTTAAACGGGGCAAGTGAGAGAGACGTCACGTCGTGTTGTGCAGTTTCTATTTTATGAAGTGAAACCATTACGAGCTGTCAATTGTGACCCGATTACTCTGACATGGCGTCTCACGTGTGCATGTGCACCACCTCTCTCTCTCATCATCATCATATTATTGCCATAACCCATGTGTTAAAACCATTTAAAACGCAGAGGTTTTGTTTTTTTAAAAGTGAATAGAATAATGGTTAAGATTTTACTTAAGCAATATTTTCAAAAGATCTCCAACTTTCTTTTTTTTTTTTTTTCAAAACGAAAAACAAACTATATATGCAATCAAGTGTTAGTCTAAGGTCTAAAAATGTTTTAAAAGATTATTATGATTGCGATTTGGGTCTAATTGAGACATTGGTCGGGTCGGCAATATGAGTCACAACATGACAACACGACTCAAAAATTATACGAATTTTACGGGTTATGATTGAGAAAAAAGATGTTCGAGTCAGAATTGGATTGACCTAAAATTGACACAAAAAACACTGGTCAATTTCAGGTTGGACCTGTCTAACCCGAATACAGCACGAAACTCGTAAAAAAAACTAAAAAATATAAATATTTTTCATTACATATTTTAGATTTTATTAGGAACTTGTGATATCATGATAGTTATACTCAAAATCTTATACTATTATTTGCTTAATTTTGATTGGATGTTATTGTATTTTAGTGTGTTATGAATTTTAAATTATTTCTAATATGAAAAAAACTTAAAAATATATATAATTTTTGTGTCAATTTCAGGTTCACGGGTTTATTTCGTGTCACGGATCATTTTATGTTATGTCGTGTCAACAAATAAAGTGGTTATGTCGTATTTGTGTCGTGATTTTTTAAAAATTTCATGTCACGAATTGTATTCGAATTAACTATAAATATTTTTAAAAAAGATCAAAATATGACGCGTGACACGAACATTAAGGTTGTTTTTAGTAAGTTTATTATCTATCGTATGGGAAAACAAATGAAAATATTACTGATAAAGTTTGGTTGTTGACTTGTCCGCGTTGTCGTCGACGCTTGGGTAGACAATCACATGCTCTCGTTCATTCTTGACTGCGACAGGACCTGCAATTCGTATTTTGAAATTATAATTGATAGTTGATCATTGATGATGCTTTCAGCAATCAACTTCTCATGAGTTGAACCTGCTTTTTGCCCTTTCTTATGTCGTTTTAGCTTTCTCTATAACATATATATATATATATATATACATTTGTTTTTATTGTAAACCTCGTTGTTTTTGTAAAAAAGATAGGGTTCGGTAGTAAATTGCATCATAAGACAAACTTGTTTGTTTATATTGGTGATCGTATATTATTATTCGTGATTACATACAAGATTCGTTCCATCCGCGAATAGGTGATAATGAACAGGAACACAAATATAGCTAGACGCCAAGTCCAATTGTCATCATAATTATAGATTTAGTCTAATGTTTTGATGTCTTCAATAATATCTAATCAAGCACTGAATCACAATAGAAAAGCAGTCATTTAAAAATTGAAATACTTTTTAACTCATTTCAATTTAAACATGTTATTCAATCCAATTAAATTACGTGGCATAATTAAAATATTAAAAATTAAACTGTAGGTCAATAATTATACTCAAACTCGCCCTACATTATTGCCTATATATGTAGACATAGGAAATTGTCGTACTTCGATTATTATAAGCCTGTTTAGTTCATAAATTAGAATCATGAGATTAAAATTATTTTTAATTTATATGTATTTTTTATAAAAAAAATACTGTAATAAATCATAAACCATAATTTAAATTAGAAAATGAAATCTCTAACGGACTCTGTATGCATGCAGTATGTTTATGTCAACCAAAAATTATTCATTTTTAAGAAATTAATAAAGACGTTAGTTGTGATAATTTATGCAGTAGACCACGACCTCTTCTGACAAGATTTGAAAGTGGTTTTTTTCATAGGCAGGGGACTGTAGTAAACGTCAAATCAAGATTAATGCTCCGTAGTAAATAATAAGAATTATAATTGGTATATATATTGTTAAAAAAGAGTACTTTTATCTTATTGTAAGCTGACCGATTGCATTCTATTAGAAAACGTGACGAAAAATGGTTTTTCCCAAAAAAAAAAAAAAATATATATATATATATCAGTGAGTGACACATACGTAATATGTATATTATGTTGGAAAAAACACACTCCTAGACTCACACACACTCACACATCAGAAAATAAATTGAAAAAAATAATAATAGAAAGTTAGAGAAGACAATATTTAAATGGTTTGAAAAAATTTCCTACATCTATAGGAGAGGAATAAAAATTTACTAACAGTTTCAAATTACACACTCAATAAATTTTTTCACTTTCTCACTCTACCCAAAACCTCTTATACTCTTACTTATCTCTCTCCTCACTTCTCTGTCTCTCTCTCACTCAAAAGGAGACATTTTTTCTCTGCACTTGTCTCTTAGCACACTTTTCTCTGAACACACAAAACACTTATTTATAGACTCATAATGAGCTATAAAAAAAACCCCTGCACAAAAACAAAAAACGGTAATTTACCCAAAAAACACAAAATAGTAAATTTTTCAAAACGAATTTGAGTCACTTACCTAACAATCTCCACCTTGACTCAAATTCTCTCAACTCACATATTTGGATATCCAA